TAATAATAGTATGTTATACATCGATGGCAGCAACAGCTTTTCCAGGTTCTGTAGTCATCTGAACAAAATTATAGACATTCAGCACATTCCATTAAAAACAAAACAAAACAAAAAAACAAGAGTGGCATTTTTAAACTCATCCTTCTTGTTTCTCTTTGCTGTGTTGGGAATTGGATCCATAGCCTCCTGCCTGCAAGCCAATCACTCTGCCACCGAGCTACACCCTCCTCCCTTTTAAAAAAATCTTTTTACCTGGTCTTCCATCTGACTGTAGAAGTCCCTCACTTGTTTTTTCGTGAGCATGGTCTTTTCTTCAGCTTCTATGACAAATCCTGCTGTGGTGATCTGCGTTTAGGTTAGAACCAGATATGTCATGGGTCACACATGAAGTAAAGTTAGGGATGCTCATTTCCTATGCCTAACAGATGACTTAGGATTTTTAAAACTGTGTATATTAGCTATACAGAATAATGTATTTCCTGTTGGCATATTTATATATGCATACAATTAATACCTTTTTGTGCTTCCTCTCCCCAGTTCCCTTTTTCATCTCTAATAATCTTCCTTCTACTTTCGTGTTTTCTCTTTTCCCACCCCTAGATTCCACATATGAGAAAAATGCAACATTTCTTTTTCTAAACCTGGCTTATTTCACTTAACATGTTGATAACCAGTCCCATGAGCTTTCCTGTAAAGACATGATTTTTTTTATGGCAGTAGGGATTAAACCCAAGACCACCCACATAGAAGGCAAGCATTCTATCCCTGAGCTACATCTTCACTCTGATTTCATTCTTCTTTATGGCTAATGATTCCTTGTTATGTATATAGACTGCATTTTCTTTGTCAATTTGCCAACACATAATCGTCTGTTTTAGTTTGTGGGAATATGTTCACAATAAACATGGATAAGCAGGTATCTCTGTAGTATGGTGACTTCAGTCCTTCCAGGTATATGCCAAGGAGTAGCGTAGCTAGATCAAATGGTAGCTCTATTTAAAGTTTTTTACGTACTTCCATTCTGATTACATAGTGACTAATAATTTACATTCCCATCAACAGTGTGAAAGGGTTCCTTTTCCCCTATATCCTTGCTAGCACTGTCTTTTGTTTTGTTTTGTTTTGATTTTTGAGACAGGGTCTCACTATGTAGTTGAGACTGACCTGGAACTCACTATGTAGCCCAGGCTGGTCTCGAACTCACAGCGTTTCTCCTGCCTCAGCCTCCCGAGTGCTGGGATTAAAGGCATGTGCCACCACGCCCGGCTAGCACTGTTTTTTATATTCCTGATGATAGCCATTCTGACTCAGGTGATGGAATCTAAAAGTAGTTGTTTTTTGGCAACAGGGATCATACTGGGTTCCTTGCACTTGTGAGGCAGATACAGGAACCACTGAGCTAAATCCCCAGACCTAAAAGTAGTTTTGATCAATATTTCACTAATAAAGATAACGAACATTTTTTGTATGATTATTGGCCATTTGTATGTGTTCTTTCAAGATGTTCATTTTATTTGCTTATCTACTGATTGAGTTATTGGAATATTTGAGTTTCTGATTTTTCCCTGTCCTAGAAGCTTTTACTATAGTCCAGAAAAGTGAAGTGTTTAGTGAATACACATTCCATCATGAAATGCTGCTTATCATGCCAGGTCAGAAAGATATTAACACCAACTGATGATTCTTAGTACCACTTCAACTAAAATAATGCTAAAATTTTGAAAACTTTCAGCACCGTGGCCTTGAAAACATACTCTAATATAGAGCAATAAAGCACTGGTACCCAATATTACTTTTGAAACATTTGCATAAGCCATGTGTGAGGAAGTTGCCCATCTATCACCACTGCTGACATACACCAGAGGCAGGAGCATAATCCTTAGAAAGTGATATTAACTCAACTAACTCAAAACTGGAACAAATGATATACATCCTACAATCTGTGGAGTATCTATCTATTGCAGTTTACTCAATACTGAGGCTGTTACAGCTAAAGAATGAATGTATGATGGAGTGTGTTGATATTCTTTTCCTGAATTGACGTTATATTGTGATGATGTGGAAGGAAACCCTGTTTTAGAAAAACACACTCAAATATTGGGAGCCTAGGGGCCGTCCTATTGATAAATTACTCTCAAATGGTGTAGAGGGAAAAGTTCTTTGTACTGTTCTTGATAACTTCTTTTAAGCTCAAAATTATTTATTGAAGAGATAAAGAAGGGATATAAACTAGATAAAATGAATGCTTCTGACCATATCAAACAAAAACTAGTTAATAAAAAAACAAAAAAGAAGAAGAGATCTCCTATGCCTCTTGACATAGCTCCTTCGTGACTTCTTCTATTGCTCACATAGCACGGCTTCAACTTTCAACATAATTTTGTTGTTTTAATACAGAGCCATCTCTCAAAGGGTCAGTAGTACAGGCTACAGTCAAAATCTGGGCCACTCTGTTCTTGTAAATAAAGTTTATGGAAATAGCCACACTCACCAGCTTGCACATTATTTATTGCTGCTGCCTGAGACATTATGCAAACAAACCCCCAAATAGTCATTATTTGACCCTTTTACTGGAAAAGTTTGCTGACCTCTAAATTAAAATATGGTTTTCATATATATGAAAATATATCCATATGAAATATATCTATTCTAAATATAATAGGATTTATTCGGGTTCTAAAGAGAGACATCAAATGCTTCCTTAAGCTTTCATGTATTTAAAAGGATCGCGCATGTGTAATATCATACAGAGAATAAAACAAGTTAATGTGAATTTATAAAAAGATGGCATCACTAATAGCTCAAGAGAAATGACATATTACAATATAAGAACTATAATTTACAATTTATATCTGAAACTGGTAAAGCAGGGTTATTTAAAGGAGGATGCATAAGGAGACAGACAATTTGTAAATGTGAAGAATGCGCCAAGCCTTTAAAGGTTCTGAATGACAGATAGTTCTTTGTGTTCTGTCTTATTCCAAGTTGTAAGCTTGAGTCTAACTTAACAATCAAGGTGTTGTTACTTTGAAGTTAAGTTACTGCTGATAAGTACTACTTACTTTTTCTTTAATTTCTTGAGCCTTCCTTTTAAGCACAGCATCCGGCTTGATAATAACAATACTATGATTTTCCCCTAGGCAAAAAAAAAACAATCTCATTGCACTGGGACAAAAGTGGGCTGCTGAAGGATCTGGCAATTATAAGTGTAATTCCTGGCCTTCAGTGTATTTCTGACCCTTGAAAGCATAACATCTTATTATGGCCTCTCAAGTATTAACGTGCTTCTATTCAGAATCAAAGGACAGATTAAATATTTGCATGCAGGAGAAACACTCACAAAAGATTTTCTTCAAGAGGCAAAATATATAGCAAAAGTAGGTGCTGCTGGATTTAAGTCATCCACACACATGACTCACCACATGATCCATCCAGGTCAGCACCACCAGTGAGTGAAGTTTCAGGCGTGTACTATGCAAGGTTACAAACTGACAGAATTTCCACCTGCAAACGTATCTACATTCTTACAGCAAATTTTTAGTACAAGAGTTCACTTAGCATGTCTGCCTGCCTTTGCTTCCTCCAGAGAATGAACACATGCACACTTGCAAGTGCACATACATGCTCATGCACACACAAATGTACATGCACCCACACGCATCTGCACACATGAACACAAATTCCTATGAAGGAATGGGATTGTTAACTGCAAAGTAAACCAAGAGCACTGTCATCAGAAGAAATCATTTTCACAAATTTTTGGAAGGGTAAACTAAGAAGGTGCTATCTAAATTAGTTGCAGGATGCAGGAATTCATAAACCTGATTACTTTTCTTTTTGAAGCACCTGAGATTGAAAGCAAGGCCTTCATACTGAGCAACATTCCAGCCTATTTTTTTTTTTGAGACATAAACTCACTAAATTATTAAACTGCCCAGGCTGTGCTCAAATTTGTGATCCTCCTGCCTCAGTCTCCCAGCATGCTTGGAATATAGGCCTGTGCCACTACAGCTGGTTGCCTTGGATAACCTTTGAAAGACCAAAAATAGGCAAGGAGAAAAAACAAGGATGTCTTTTAGTACCTCAATCTGCAAGGCATCAACCATCATTTATCTCAAAGTCCCTTATTGATTAACATTTCTGTCACTACCAGTGTTTTGCTTCTACAAGAGATGCTCTAAACACGAACAGAAAACCCTTGCCATTACTCTAAAGTAAATGTACTTACTTTCAATTTTTTTCCTAGCCTTTTCTAACTCCATGAGCAGAATATCAGGGTACTATGAAAGAGAAATGCAAGTAAAACACAGTTATTTTAATAACATGATTAAAAAAAGGTTTAGAAAGTTTGTTCTGAGTAAATATTTATAACCCAAGGAACTGAAGATAAATTTGAAAAGTGCCTTTGACTTCACATTGCTGAATGCTTGTACCTTTTAGTTATCTAGGTAGTTGTAAAATGCTATGGTTTAGATAAGTGTCCCCCAAGACCCATGCATTAAGGGTTTGGTCCCCAGTTTGTTGAAATAATGACACGGGGGTAGAACCTTTAAGGGCCAGAGCTCAGTGGGAGGAAGTTAGGTCATGGTGGGCATGCCTTCGAAGGGGGTTGTAGGACACTGTCCTCTTCCTGTCCTCTCTCTTTTTTGCTTCCCAGCTTCCATGAGATGATCAGTTTGCTACAGGACAAGTTCCTGACATGATACCCTGCTTCACCACAATCCCAAAGAAATAGGACCAAGCATTATGGTTTAGATCTAGAGTGACTGTCCGAAATCTCATGTGTTCAGAGGTGAGGCTTTTGGAAGGCAACTGGATCATGGTGATACTATAGCTAACATGCTGTTCAGAGATGAGGTCTGGTTGGAGGTGGGTCCCTGGAGGTGTGGCCCAGAGGATATATCTCCCTCCCCACCTCCTCCCCTCTGACTCCACTTCTTGGAAACCATGATGTAAGTAGCTTTCCTCTCCCAGGCCATTCACCTTCCTCTTCCTGCCTTGGAGCCAGTCAACCATGGACTGAAAGTAAGAGCCAGAATACATTTTCTCTCCTTGAAGTGTGGGTGTTGAGTATTTTGTCCCATGATGAAAAAATTGCTAAGACACAACCTGACCATATACTGCAACCTCTGAACCCGTGAGCCAAACTGTACCTTTCCTCCTTATAAATTGATTATCTCAGGTATTCAGCCATAGTCACCGAAAGCTGACTACCACATAAAGTTAGGAAAATCTGTTAGCAAAATAACAAAGATGGAAATAAATTTTAAAAATTAAGACAGTCATCGTATTTACAGTATTACCTCAGGGCGAACCATTTCACCTGCTGCGATCTTCTTCTCTTCATTGACCAAGGCAATAATTTTTTTATTAACTAGCGGTGCATTTGCACCCTGAATCTTTGCAATAATTTTGCCATTCTATGTATAAAGGAAAAGAAAACATGAAATGGTTATTTTCAGAACAAGTCAAGAAAGGATAACCTGGACTAATTAGCCTCTCCCTGATCCTCTTCCTCACCAATCCTCCTTTAGCTATTGTTATCAGTCATTTTAAAGTAAGTCAATAATGACCTGAAATGACCTTTAGATTTAGTGAACCCAGCTCTACTTCTGATTTGTCTGTCTTCCTGCAGCCAAAGCCGTGTCTGTGTCTCCCAACAGGACCTTGCATCAGCTCATCAACATGCAAAAGCAGCGACATGCATTGTGTCCTTGTGCCTTTGCTTTAATTAGAAGGATGTTGAACAGGCCTCCCAACACTGTCCTCCTGACACCACACCCCTTTGTTTGTCTTTCGCCTCATGCATTCTAAGCGTGCTTACTCCAATGGGACCAGACAGAACTGTGTGGAATCAGAGCTCTGGTACCTAACCTAATCATAATAAAAGAGAGGCTAAGCAATGGTGGTGCAGCAACCCTAATGAGATACCACTGACAGGTGAAAAGTGCTCAGAGAACCTACCAGAATGGCATATCTCAGTATCAGGAAGTGATTCTTTGCTTAAAATAGGAAAGAAGGCCAACAGATAATGAGGTAACAAGGAGAAGAAAAAGCATTTTAGGCACAGGGCATAACAGATATAAGATATGAGGCTGGAAGGAGGCAGGCCAGTGTGAAGGCCAGCCAAGAAAGCAAGAGGGAACTAGTAGGTGATGAGACTCAATTCCAAAAGGCATCAGATCACACAGAGCCTGTGATCCATGTGTGTGGATGAAGCCTACACCTTACTTGCCGTCAGACATCAGAGAACTGTTAAATAGGCTGCAGCCATGATTAGGACTGTTACTTGTAGAGGTCCTTACTCCTGATGTGTGGAGAAAAAGTTGGGAAGGAAGGGGTAAGGAGAAAATGCTTGTGGAAAAGTTAGGAGCCTCTCTAGAGGTGAGATGGCACGCAGTGGCCCCTCAGTCTATGGAGAGGTGGAGTGAATGGCAAGAAGCAGAAATCTGTGCCTTGGAGGGTAGGATTGGCAGGTTCACACGGTGGCTTGGATTGGGTGTGATGGAAAAAGAAGTCACGGAGATGTTTCTTCTGTTTCTCACTTTAAGACTGTATAAATCATGAATCACCAGGTTATTTTCCAAATGAGGAATCACTAGGAGAGTGTCCCATTTCAGAGGGAGGAGAACCTAGTGCTGGATAAGTTTGTAGCCAGATAGCGTTTTTGCAAAAATTGACAGATGTCAGGTTGGGTACACCAGTCTGGAGTTTGAAGTATAGAATTTGGCTGAGTATGAAAACTTGAGTTGTTGACAATTGAGAGGGTGTACAGAGGGAATTGTCTTAGGTCCGTATCAATACATAATAGCTAAATCAAAAAGGATGAGTCCAAAAAAGAGATGAAGTATCCAGGAAGGCAAAAGGAAAGCCAAGTCCCTCAAGGTGAAAAAAGAAGGGCACAGTCACAACTGAAACACATCTGACAGGTGCGCAATGGTAGAGATATAAAAAAGCTTATTTAGCAACAGGCTTGTAACTGAATATATTAGCAATAGCTATTTTGGTGGAATAATCACACAGAAGTCAGGTTAAATATGCTGCAGAATCAATGGAATAAAAAGAAAATAAATGGGTGAATGAGAGGAGAGGAGAAATAGCAGGAGGGGGCATGGTATCAGAATGAAGTAATGTTTTAAATGAAAAGATTTAATCACATTCAAAGGCCACTGAGAAGGATACAGTTGAGAAAGGTCTAAATGAAAGCAGGAACTCTAATTATCATTTCCCACTGAAAGGAATCTTTCAGCAATTCCCTTGCAATGAAGCCATACCTGCTGAAACTTTCTAGAAGAAATTTGTCATCGGCCAAGAAAGCCTCAGAGGACCACTGTAGGACTATTTCAATCACCAAGCAATAAGCTTGAAGGTGGTTTTGTGATCAAAGAATGAGAGTCTTAATTTAACAGTCATACTGCAGCAGCAGGTGGTAAGAATGCCAGAGGAATGAATACAGGAGTGATTGGATGAGGTACCTTCAAATGAAAGGTCACTGGCAGTACAGAGGTGAAGGATGGGAAGGCCAGGATATTATGTGGACTGCCGGTGTGACTACTGAGGTCTCCAAGGTGATGGCAGGCCTTGGCTTTGAGAAAAAGTCTTGGAGCACGTGCCAAAGCCTTCAGTCACCAACAGAAGTGTTTTGAAGGCCATCAAGCAACAGGAAAGAAGAGGAGGAGATGGAAATGTTGCCAAATAAAAGAGATTTCTAATAACCAAGGCAACAGGAATTTGGAAAGAAGTAAGAGGAAGTAGGAGAACAAATAATTCTATTCCTGGCCCGAGAAACTTCATCTGAAAAAAAAAATGTCATCACTTCTGAGGTGCAGAGAAAACGTGCTAAGGAAGGAGTCAGATTTAAGGTAAGTGGAGGGTGGGAAGCAACAACAGACTTGGTCCGAGACCTGGGGAAATCTAATTGCCTAGGTAGTAAATGTCACACAGCGAGGCAGACTGGCTCAGCTTTTAGAAAACAGAGCTTATGATGGTTTTCTGATCATTAAAGCTGTGTGTTTGTCACAGAGTATTTGGAAAATGAAAAAAAAAAAAGTGCCATGAAGAAAAACATGTGCATCCTTCCCCCATACATAAAAAACTGCTAGAAAATTTTGGTGACTAAACTTTGTGTCTTCTTCCTTCACATTTGTAGAGGTAAACATAACATGTATTCCAAAACAGTGATCATACAGATATTTTCTTGTGTGGGCATATATGAATATTTTTAGCCATTTTTGTTCTGCTTGAGAAATTACCAATTTTTAATTCCTATAAATACTTTTTTTTGTACAAATCTATGATGATTTCTTTAGTATGGATAAACACCATGTTATTCTTTTTTCTGATTAGCCCAGTGTTTATAGTCTAAGCTCTTCAACCCACTACAAGCCCCTAAATGTCAAATTATAAAATATACTAATAGACAATCAGATAAGACAAACAATGCACAATTTTATAATACTACTTGCTCTTTAACTGTAAAATAGAATCTTCTAATACAATTGAGATAAGTGCTGTACTTACAACACTAAAGAGAAAAACAGGTTCACATTTGTCTCTAAATGACTGCAAAGTCACAATATTGTCAGCTTCTGCCTGAAAAATGTAATGTTTTATATAATAATAAGGAAACTATGTAAAAGCATTAAAATACACTATGTTAAGCAATGCAGAGATAATATGATTTTTACATTTACTGCAACATTTTCTGGATGTATTACCATTGTTTAAGGATCACATTGCATATAGTGGTCTTTATTTTATTTCCTTTCTTTGCAGAAACGGCCCCTTTTCCCTAGCTGACGACAGAAAACCAAATGTCCACCAGAGGGCATCTCTGCACTGTTGCTTGCAGTGAAGTTCCACTGGTTTGGGTTTTTGTTTTGTTTTATTTTGTTTTTAATATCTATTTCAGGCAGATCATTTTATAAAAACAGGATTAATATATGCAAATGAGCTATTGCAAGACTCAAACACACAGAATATAAACTATTGAGAGACACTGTGTACGGTTTTGTTGTTAAATTCAACACATGCTAGTGCTTTGAATAGGGTTCATTTTGGAGAGTTTCCATTCTCAGTTTGGTAGTACTATGGTTGTTACAGGAACAAAAAAAACTTGTTGAGTTGAATTATGGGTTACCGGTTGATTTTTTTATGGGACTGGATTATGAGAACACTAAATTCAGAGGTGGATGTATCTGTTGATAAGATTATAAAGATAGTATTACTGAGAGATGATGGAAAGAGGAGTTGGGGCCGAGTTGAAGGGAGTGGATTGGGGGAAGCACGTCCTTGGAAACATCACATGTCTTCAAGGAAATGCTACACACTTGTTAGAATGCCCAAGTTCCAGAACCCAGATTGTACCAAATACTGGCCAGGATATAGAACAAGAGGCTCCTCCATTCACTGCTGGTAGGAAAATAAACTGATGCAGCCACTTTAGAAGACAGTTTCAGTTTCTTACAAAGGAAACATAGTTTTACCATATGATCCAGCAATTGCTATCCTTGGTATTTACCCAAATTAGGCTGAAAACTTATGTCTGCACAAAAATCTGTGAACAGATGTTTATAGCTTTATTCTAAACTTGGAAGCAACCAAGATGTTCTTCAGATGGTAAATAGACAAAAAAAATTGAGATATATCAGATAAGGCAATGTTATTCAGCACTAAAACAAATAATATTTGGTCATGAAAAGACATGGAGGAAGCTTAAAGGGATGCTACCGAGTGAAAGGAATCAGTCAGAGTAGGTCACATACTGTAACTCTATACAGCTGAATGTGCTACAGGAGGTGGGACCGGTTGAAGGTGGGTCACTGGGGTGCGACCTGGAAGACTATACTCTTGTCCTGGCTCCTCCTCCTCCCATTGCTTTCCTGGCTTCCATGGGATGAGCAGCTTTTTCTTTTTTCTCCCCCAGACCCTTCTACCTCCCCTTTCAGCCTTGGAGCCCAACTGATCATGGACTGAAACTGTGAGCTAAAATAAATCTCTCCTCTTTTACTTTTGGATGTTGGGTATTTTGTCATAGGAAAGCTGACTAATACATCCTCCGAAGCATAAAAATATAGAAAAGGGGAAATTATTGGCTTTAAAATGTACATTGTGACCTTAAAGTAAGGAAACAAAGTCACATAAAGAATGTTGTCTGCAAGAGGTGGTGCAGAGTCAGACACAGGATAAGATTAGCTTTGAGGGGCTGTGAGGCCCGAGCCCAGAACACACATGGATTGAGGTCACATGTCAGCTCTAAGGACTATGCATTTTAGAGATAAGTCAAAATAAGGCATATGTATTATGTGTGTCTGCATCTTAGGTCTTGACTGGTTTGGGTAGGCTTTAGTCAAATAGAAATAATTGAGCCAATTGAATCATATACTTTTAAATTCTCTAGTAGCCACATGTAAAAACACAAAGGAAACAGGTAAAAATAATGTAATAATATGTTTTCTTTAATCCAGTGCATCCAAAACATTATCACTTGAATATGTAACAATGTGAAAAATTAATGGAATATTTCACATTCTTTTTCCACATCAAATCTTAAAATGTGGTTTATATTTTATACTTAAGAGTATATCTTCTTTATTGGGCTTTATAATTAATAATTAATAATTAATAATTGATCTTTAAATTTCTTTTTATTGGGCTGGGGTTGTAACTCAGTGGTATCATGCCTGCCTGGCAAGTGTAAGGTCCCCGGTATCGCCAAAAAAAAATTATCAAAAAAGTAGATTCACACTCTCCCAAGCTTTAGAAGCTTTACCACAATTGACTATTTTAAATTTAAATTACTCAAAATGAAAAAGACAGTTTCTCAGTTGCTGTAGCCACAGTGCAGGATCTACATAGCTATTCAAGCCTGGCAGCCACCATATTGGACATAGTGGATACCTTGACTAATCAGTGTAGCTAAGTCAAATGAGTCTGTCTGCAACACTTGAATCCCTTATCACTTTTGGGTAACTATTAAGAAAGGAGCAATCATTATCACTGTAAAATTTGGTAACTGATAAATGTACAGGGCATACTCTGTGAGACCCCAAAACAGCTTTTGCAAGCCTTACTCTAATAGGTGTACACCAATCATATGGTCAGGTGAAAACGAACAGGTCAAGAGACGTGGATCCATTTTCATTATTTTTTAAGGTCTTCAATCAGAGTGAGTAACCTCAACAGTGTAGGACTCAGATCAGAATCACGTTCATTCTCAGACCTTAGAGCTAAATATAGAGTAAAACTACCAAGTGGGCAGTCAATGATGAAGAATTAGCAAATCGCTTGAATTAAGACAGTGCTTAAAAGTATTGGTAGCCATTTCAACACTGTAACAAAGAATCAGTAGTTCAACAAAAATGAGTTCCTTACAACAACAAAATGCAGAATTTCTTCTTCGTTTATTTCATTTTTCAGTTTTCTGAACAAAGGCTGCATGGCTTTGCAGGGTCCACACCAGGCTTGGTAAACATCAATCACTAGGTGGTAACAGAACTCATGAAAGACCAGAGGCATAGGACTTAAATGCCAGCATGCCCCCAGCCCGGGCAGAGCCCAAGGCCAAGAGAGCAGTATTTCAGGTTGGGGGGCTGGGGGTGGTGGTGGCTCTGAAGTGACCCAGGACCATGGGACCCTGGTACCTGTTAATCCTTTGTTCTGAAGCATCTCTTCCCATAGGCTTTGATTGTTGATGACAGTCTGCAAAAAGCAAGCTGTTATGGTTTGTGTCTAGATGTTCCTCCAAAGCCTCATGTGCTCATCGGTGTGGCTTGTCAGATTTGGCTGGATCTGCAGTGTGTGATACTGGGATTAAGGCTGTGTGATAACTAACTGGGAGTAGCACAGTTCTGGGTGTGAATAACGGGAGCCATGGCTTGGGTGTGGGTGGCATCAACCAATAGGCTTATAGCTTGGATGGATGGAATATAAAGGGAAAAGAAGGAAGGCTTGCTGTTTGCTGCTGGTGGTTGCTACTTCCTTCCTGCCTGCCCTGCTATGGACTGCTTCTCCTCTGCCATGTCCCTGTGCTATGCTGCCATGCATGCTGCCATGCCTGGGAGACAGCCAATTATGAACTGAAACCTCTACAAACTGTGAGCCAAAATAAACCTTTCCTCCTTTAACTTTAAGTGCCAGATATTTTGTCACACCAACAAGAAAAATAACTAAAACACAAGGTTCCGTGAAAGGCCTTCAACTGCCAGGGTATCAGGTGCTGCACTGATGAGTATCTTACCCACCTGTAACTGCACTTCGCCTCGCTTTTTGCTTGCCATTTATCTGCTCTCACAGGAAAAAAGGAAGAAAAATGCAAATCATTCCAAGGAAATTTGATTCATGTTGTCTTTCTACATGCAAACAGCCTCCTAATGTACTACAGAAATTTCCCTTTTCCAAATATCAGAGGCGGCAGGCTCAGAAAGAGGGGAGGGAGTGGGTGGGAGGGGGAGAGGACTGAGCTCAGTTCACAGACAGCCCTTTTCCTGCTGGGCTCCACAGGGTGCTCACAGTTGTTGCCCCATCTTACCCTCCCAACAAGCCAGAATAAGGGAAGCAGTCAGCAGCTCCAGGTTGCTTAAACAATCCTGTGTCTTTTTTTCTGAAGAGGAATGGAGAATTTTCTACATGTTCATTTGTACTCAGACTAGTTGTCCAGACCTGCCTATAAGGACGCTTAGTTTTCAGAATGAAATCACTCCTGTTCTCCGAAGCACAGCATAAACTTTCCATGCATGGGGCCAAGACTCCTTCTTCAACATGATCAGGGACCTTTGGGATGACAGGGAGCACTGGGTTAAAACAAGAAAAGACCCCAGGAAATGTCTTTCCCAATAAAGGTGCCAGGGACTCCAAGGAAAATGACCCTGTGCTCACCTTGGGGCAGCTGACCAAGAGGGATTCCAGGGCTGGTTACCAGCAACTTGGCCACGGGCTGAAGAACACCAGCACCTGTCACTCTGTGGCCCCAGGCTGGCGGCGCTAAAAAAGCGAAGGACACAGGCCTCCGGAAGATCAGGGGGCCAACGTTTCCAACGCGAGTCGCCGTCCCCGCGGTGTCACGAGGTCCAGGCTCCGTTCCAGCCAGCGGGGAGGGCTCTCCTGCTCCTCTGCTTAACGGAGGAGATATCCCAGTGGTTCCACCTCCTCCACCAGGCTCCTCTTCCCACCCCTGCCTAGGTTTCCCCACCAGCTCCTTTGGCTTCCTATGTTCAGGTCTACTGTCTGTCTCCCATTGTAGGCTTTGGGACCTTCCTATGGCCATGCGTTTCAGAAAAGAATACGGTATTTAAGATTTACGGTATCCAGTGGTGGCACTGGAATCCCGGCACTGTGGGAGACTGAGAAGAGAAGATCACAAGTTTGAGCACAGCCTGGCCAACGTAACATCTTAGCAAGATTGTATCTCAAAATAAAGATATTTTTTATAAAATGTCTGGGGGTGTAAGATCACAGCCACGAAGGCTCCGGATTCAATCACCAATACACACACACACTCACACACACACCCCTCAAAACAGATCAAGGGAGCTGTAATTTATTCCTGCCCGTGCCAGGCTCTCCCTCCCCCACCTTTTCCTCCTACATTGACCTTGGTGGGGGATCGTCCTCCCTTCCCCCTCCACTCTCCTCTCTCCTGGAAGGTGGACTCCCGTTCCTCCTCTTTTTTTTTTTTTTTTTTTCAAACTGTTTAGAATTCTGCACTTACAAATATGTTGCCAAAATGGCGCACTGCCTTCCCACCCAGGCTCTGCTCAGCTGCGGTGAGCTCCTTGCTAACCAGAACTCCGTGATCTGAGGAACCAGGTGCATCCCTATGATCCATGCTCAACCGCTCTGCAAATCTTACACAAAGCTGCCTCTGGTTCCCACCAGTGTCCCTTTTCCTGGCCCGCGGGGGGCCCCATGTCCCGCGCTGCTTTTGGTTGTCATGGCTCCTCCAACCTGGCACTTTCTTCTAGACAGCCTGACTTTTATGCTCTTGACAGGGGTAATTATTTTGTTTCACCGATTATGTCTTTTGTAAAATTTATACCAAGAATATTTTTAAAGTAACCTTTAAAGCATTCATTGTGGCTGAAAAATAATAATTGTAGAACTCTAACCATTTCTAAGGGGTCCTTAGTGTTAAGCATATTCACATGGTTGTGCAACCAATCTCCAAACTTGTTCAGCTCCCCAGACTTGAATTCTACACCCATGAAACAATAGCTTCCGCTTTCCCTTACTTCAGGGTCCTAACAATCATTCATCTTCCTGTTTCTTAAACAGTAATTTAAAAACAGAAAAACTTCAAAAATCCAAACCTCTCCTATTCTTGCCCTATGAATTCCATCCTTTGTCTTTGCCTTATTGTGGCTTTTGACTTGATCAAAGTTCTGGGACCACACACCCACCCCTTGGTGGACAGGCCCTCTTTCATGGTGACCCTTTTCTGGTTTGAACAGCAAACTGTGGCAGATCTTGTGTGTGTGTGTGTGTGTGTGTGTGTGTGTGCGTGTGTGTGTGGTACAGTATCAGGTTTGTGGAAACGTATCTACTTCCCGAATCTTTTCCTGGATAACCACATGGATAACCAAGGTGTCAGACCAGTTGCATGTCAATTGCTTACCTTAACTCTCCCATTTTGTACGGACAGTTGGAAAATCCAAACATGTCTATGAATGGCACGGTCCTGGGCCCTGAATGTATCACTGTGACCCTGCTTTATATGAAGTACATTTGGTCTCCACCCAGGTCCTGGCATAGAGCTACTAAAACCCTGGTAATTTCCTACCTGATAGGTGTATTAAGAACATCTTTTATTCCACTGTGTGAGCTCCAGGCACAAAGCTCCTAAATCCTTTGAAATTTCATGGATAGTAGAGGAGCCTTTGGTTCTGAACGAAGCAACTGAGAGCACTCCACAATAGCAACTGGTCACCGAGCCATGATTAGGAGCTTGGAACTTTCGGCCTCTTCTCGTTACTTGTGGAAGGAAGAGGAATTTGACATTTATTTTAAAAATCAAACTGGATAGACAATGAAGGATCCATAAAGTCCTTAAAGTATGAAGTCTGCAGAGCTTCTAATTTGGTGAAGACACCACCATATCAGAAAGGTGGGACACCCAACTCCACAGGGAAGAAACTCCTGCACTAGAAGCTCTTCATATGGCTATTTATCTGCACCCTTTATCATGTCCTTTGTAGCAAACCACTACTTATATGTAAACATTTCCTTGATTTCTGTGAGCTATTATGGCAGACTATTAAATCCGAGAATGGGATTGTTAGCACCCCCAATTTAAAGCTAAGTTGCACAGAAATGCGGATAACCACCTGGGAACCTCCTAGTTCAATTTAGCATCTGAAGGAGGTGTCGGTCCTTTAGGACGGAGCCCTTTTCCTGTAGGGTCTGTACAAGCTCCAAGTGGTTAGTATCACAACTGAATTGTGGAACACCCTGCTGGAGTCTGGAGAGGAGGAGAACCAGATGGTGTGGGGGAAAATGATGCATTTGGGCAATCGGTAGTACTTTGGTGAGCAGAGGAAGAAGCAAATGTTTCCTTTCACTTGTCTTTTTATCCACAAGGAATTCCACGTGGATGTTGAGATTCTCTTCCCTAAGCTGGAACGGATGCAAAAGTGTGCGTGGGATGCTAGTCCTGTTTTAGAAACCAGCCATTGTGTCTTTATCTCTAGTCACATACAGTTCATTCCCACCAGCTTCGAATTGCAAGTTGAGCCCTTGACTTTCAGTCTGTAGTACGCGGATGTGTGGGGAGGTAGATATTGTAATCCAGGCCCACCTTTTAAGCCTTGTTCTCCTCCTAGGGATTCTGCAGCCATGCTCCTTTGTTTCAGTCCTGCTAACCCCTAGGACCTTGATGTCTGACCACTTCTTTTAGATTTGACTTAAGTTTAAAATCTTTTATACAAAACAAGTATCAATATTTCCATTTTTGTACCTAGATAGAACGCCTGTCATCCATGTTGGCCAGAAATGAACCCGCTATCTTTTTATCTCAGCCATGCCTCCCCTATGGCTTTGGAGTTATTAATTATGCTTACCAATCAAACATGCCTCAAGATTTCCTTAGTTTCCTACTCTAGATAAACTCTCAGAATTGTGCTTCTAAACTTACCTTTGCCTTCTCTAGAGGCCAAGTGTACTATCTCATGTTGTGGTATTGTCTTTTCACCCTTGTACAGTGAGACCTGGCCCATTTTTTCACAGCTGGGATGAGCGGCTGGCTTGGGCTGAGAATTGGGCTGTGCTCAGTTTCACTGGGGTAGAATTTCCTAGTAATATCTATGTAGAGGTCAGGTGTGAAACCTCCAGTCTAACTCCCTGTTTTCAGTTAACATGCTTTCTGGTCTACTGAGACAGCATCTTTCTCATAAACTTTTTATCTTTTGCTGTAGGAAGAGAAATACAGCTATCATCACACCCAGTATGCTGGACTACACTTGTCCTGGTACTGAGAAGATGGGAATAAATCTCTAAAATGCACTGTATTGCTTTCCTGGCACCTTCTCAATATGCACAGTGATTTCTCACTATCAGGCTCAGTGTGAGTTATCTAACTTCTGGAGCCTTTGTTACAAGCTTTAATGTTTCAGCCCAGTTTTGTTTATTATCTCTCCCAGAAAGCCCTCTGTTAAACCTCTGGGGGACCTCAGCTGTCCTGTGGGCTTGTATTGACAGCAACACAGGTGATGTAAGATTACATCTTTAGGAACTTTACATTGCATAGCAACTATTGTGTTGAAAGAAAAAATAACCAAAAGTCAGTTTGCTGATGACCTGACCCTGGTAAAATTGCAGCTATAGAAAGCAAAGAGTCTTTTTAAATGAAGATGTGGCAGAATGAATGGGGAATATATGCCTCATCTAGATGGGATAAGGCCCCCTATTCAAACATCCTTATATACACAAGTCTGCTCACCCCAGGGATGAGGATCTTGTTAACAAAGTTTGCCTTGTTGTTGGTGGCCTAAAACTCCAGTGGTTGGTTCCTAAATCTCAACCTGTGTGTAAGATTTAGGCAGAATTATTCTTTATTTTATTTTACTTTATTTTCATTGGTGTGTGTGTGTGTGTGTGTGCATGTGTTTGTGTATTTTACTGGAAAATGAACCTTTGCACTGAGCCACATCCCCAGGCCTTTTATATTTTTTATTTTGAGACAGGATCTCCCTAATTTGCCCAGACAGTGCTGGAAATTGTGATCCACCTGCTTCAGCTTCCCCAGCTGCTGGAATTACATGTATGGGCCAGCCTAGACCAGCTCCAAATTTTCTGTAATGAAGTGTTTCTTGTTACCCACCAAAAGATACAATTGCATAGGTACCTATAAGAAAAGCGCTTAGCAAGTGCCAAAAATGTGCATGCAATATTTCAGACAAAGTTTTCACATATTTTTGGTTTTTAAGTGGAAGCACCATTGCAACAAAAAGAAATTCTTCCCATTTGTTCTTAAATAAGAACAAATTTTGGCTGTATGGTGAATGTTCTCAAAGATCCCTGTGTTGAATGCTTGGTTTCTAGGTTGGTGCTTTTACAAAAGGGTGGGGTCTGTAGGAGGTGTGACCTAAGGGGAGGCCTTTAAGTCTCAGAGATATGCCTTTAGGTTGGGGGTGCCCCATCGTTTTTCTCTTTGGCTTCCTGGCCACTCTTCTATGTGCTTCCTGGCCTACCGTCGGTATCACTTGCAAGAGGCCAAAGCGATGGGCCCAGTGTTGGGCTGGAATCTCCAAGACTGTGATCAAATTAATTATTTTCTTTTTTTTGCTACAATGACTGAAAATTAAATAATACACTTGCCAATGATCATCTTTCTATAATAGCAAAAGATTTTGAAACATAAGCCTCATGAGATTTTGATTTGAATCTCACTAGAATTGACTTCAAGGACAAAAGCACTCTGAAAATGTCAGTTATAAGAAACTGTATTTATATTTTATTGTAAGTGAGGATATAAGTGCCAAATAACCTCTAAGAGGTATTAATCTTAAAGGAATCTTATTGTTTTACTCCTTGCATATATTCAACATTACCTCTCCAGATTCATTAAAGGGGCTCTCTCCCTTGATGATCGGTCCTTTTTTTGACCTCACACAGCACTGTGTATAGTACTCAACTTTGTTCTTGAGGATTAAGTTTGTTGGCACTTAATTGTTTTTTCCATGTGTGCCCAAGCACTCTTAATAGGTGTTGTCATAGCTTGTATCTAGGTATCCCTCAAGAGCTTCATAGGTGGGGCTTTTGGGGCCAGGGCTGGATCATAGCTGTGTGATGCTGGATTAGGATCGCGATACTAGGATTTAGGGTGTATGATAACTAAGCTGATTTAGCAAAACTCTGGGTCTGAATCATAAAATCCCCACCCTAGTTGTGGGTGGAGCCAACCAGTAGGCTTGTAGTACAGATAAAATATACAAGGACAGGAAGAAGGCAGGGTTGCAGCCTGTCCTGCCGTGGACTGCTTCTCCTCTGCCGTGCCCTTCTGCCAAGCTTCCCTACCTTGGAGAGAGCTGACTGTGGACTAAAACCCCTACAAACTGTGAGCTGCAATAAACCATTTCTCTTAATGTACGGGTGTTGTATATCTTGTCCCAGAAATGAGAAAAGTAAGAAAGA